CACAAAATGCCCCTGTTTTTGCAAGAATCAGGACATTTTTGTTCATTTTGCCCCCCCCCACCCCTAGCCCAGATTTGCGGAGTGCAAAGCTATTTTTTAAAAAAATTCTTGGTGCGTCTTATACTCTGGTGCATTTTACACTCCAAAAAATACAGTAGGTTTCTCTTTCTCCAGTACTACCTCTCCCACAAAACCATGCCCTCTACCCCCCTTCACTCTGGACCACCAATTCCGAAAACTGTGGGGAACTGTGTTTTAACCATCTTTTTAAAGGATATTTTTCTGAATGTAGTGTCTTTCTATCTTGATTTCCTATCTGCAAAACTCCCACTCATGTATCAGTCAACTTAATTAAGTGAACTCCCTCCTGGATTTAAAAGGGTCTCAGATGTCCAATCAGTGTCCAGCCCCTTAATTGAAGCTTAGTAATGGTTTGCTTCAGTGGTGGGATTCAAAAATTTTTACTACCAGTTCTGTGAGTGTGGTTTTGTGGGTTTGGCATGGCTTTGTGGGCAAGGCATGGTGTGGCAGGGGAAGGATACTGCAAAATCTTCATTCCCTCCCCACCCCACTAACCTTTTTTCCAGCTCCGTTCTCTTATTCAGGATCAGCTGGGAGGCTAGGAGGCAGTGGGGGCGGGGCCAGCCTATTTGCCTGTTCTTCGAACTACTCAAAATTTCCGCTACCGATTCTCCAGAACCTGTCAGAACTGGCTAAATACCACCTCTTGTTTGCTGAATAACTTCACCCCTCTGAAAGCCAGATGGATGTCTATTCTGAGATTATACTAAATGGGATTGTGGGAAAACAGGAAATATGAACCATAATCTTTTCTACCTCAAGGTATTTTTCCCCTTCTTAAAGCTGGTTCCATTAAGGGAGCCTTGGCTTCTAATACTCATACTTCAAATGTTGGCATTTTACCAACTTTTGCAGGAATTTCTCACCTGAATCTGATTTTTCACTCCCATTCATTTTTTCAGTCTTGATGTGGTTTATGGAAAATGTATTTATTTAATATGATTCAAAAGCTAAACTTCAGGCAGTTTACATATTTTAAAGGTAGAAATAATGAAATAAGAGCATAGATTATACAGAAAGAAACAGTACTTAGTATACAATAAATAAATCAATCTGCATATTTCAAAAGCAGAACTGGGAGGTTGATAGCATCAGAAATCAAAGGATTCTCTGGGATAGAAAGTAATTACATGTATTTTAGCACTTTTCTTGTCTGTCCCCCCCCCCCCAAGTCTAGAATTTGCCATAAAGCTCCAAGGCATCTACCTCATAAGATCTGGTTAGATGGTAATACATTATTCTGCTGGGAAGTTTGTACATTATTCTATGGTTTACAGGTTAACATATACTTAAAAGGCAACTCTCTTGCTGAAATACCTGAATAGATGCTAAAGCAATTCCAATTAACAAGATTTTTAAAGATTGCCAAGGTTTCTTTTCCTGTTTATTCCAACAGAATAAACATGACTCTGCTTAGTGCTTGACTGTTTAAAAAAGCCTCTAAAAAAGCACCCTCTACAGGAGGAGGCAAGAGAATGACGTGCCTCAACTACGTCAGGAATTTTTCAGCTTTTAACCCTTGCTTAACTCTGCTCGAGTGATCATAAAACGCCTCAAGTCAGACAGACTAGATGAGGAACGTCATTCTCTTGCCTCCTCCTGTAGAGGGCACTTTTTAGAGGCTTTTTGAAACAGTTAAGCACTAAGCAGAGTCATCCATGGTGACTCTGGCAGCAACTAGCTCAGTCTGACCTCAGCTCTTGCCTTTTTCCTTTCAGATTTTTTTTTCTTTTCATGATGACAGTAGTGAGGCTCTGCCTCCCCTGCCTTCCCTGACTGCACATCCCTGTTTATGACCCAGTTTTGAGTTTCTGTTGGCTGCCACTCTGCAATCATGTGATCTTGTTTTATGACATTTTTTTCCAGAAAAAAACCAGCATTTACTTTCCAGTTTTGGCAAAATAGCAATAGCAATAGCAATAGCAGTTAGACTTATATACTGCTTCATAGGGCTTTCAGCCCTCTCTAAGCGGTTTACAGAGTCAGCATATTGACCCCAACAACAATCTGGGTCCTCATTTCACCCACCTCGGAAGGATGGAAGTCAACCTTGAGCCGGTGAGAGTTGAACAGCCGAACTGCAGATAGCAGTCAGCTGAAGTGGCCTGCAGTACTGCACCCTAACCACTGCGCCACCTCGGCTCTGACTAATTCCTTCAACACTGTCAA